ATTTAGTAGTGAGACCCTGAACACCCTGTAGACCCTTCCCTAAAATACAAACAAAGCAAAACAAAAACAGTAAAGAAGACTTCTGTAATGAAAAAGTATATCATGTTGCTGGATAGAAAGACTCACAACTAATATGTTTAATCTACCTACCAAACTTGATAGGTAGATTCATTGCATTTTCAACATTTTTTTTTTTCGGAACCGGGATTTGAACTCAGGCCCTTGTGCTTGCCAGGGAAGCGCTTATTCCACTGAGCCATCTCCCCGGCCCCTTCACCATATTTTTTATAGAAATTGGCAAACTGGTTTTAACGGTACTGTATAGGCAAAGGCAGAAAGCCAATATGAATCAGAACAATTTTGCAGAATAAAATGAGGGAGTAGTCATATTACCTGATTTCAAGCATTACCATAAGCTACAGTATTCAAGGCCATGTGGTCTGGCTTATAAACAAATACAAACATGGATTCAGAAATGGTCCATATACATCTGGTTAACTAAAGGAAAAAGTGTTTTCAATAAATGGTGTCTCTATAACTCAGTACACATATGGAAATCCACAAGCCTCAAACTTGAACCACCTATAATTAATTTAAATGAATTATAGACTTAATTATAAAAGCTAAAATTATAAATCTTCTAGAGGAAAATATAAGAACATTTTATACTGGTAGACAATAAAGCAATAAGCAAGCAAGAAAAAAATTGTGCTGTTCATCAAAAGACACTAATAAGAAAATGAATAAGGAAATTGCATACTAGGAATAAAATAATACATATTAAAGTCTTCGTATTCAGAGTGCATAAACAACTCAGAATTAAAAAGGCAAAGACGTGAGCTGTTTACAAAAGAAAACATGTGAGTGGTCAACAAACACATGTGAAGTTGCGCAACATCATGAACTTAAATTAACGAGGAATTACTTTCCAGATCCGCTAGAATGGCTGCAATTACAAAGACTGGTTACATCAAAAGTTTTTGATAATGCAAAGAAGTTGGAAGTCTGTTTCTTTGGGGAGTATAAAATTTTACAATTTGAAAATTGTTCATCAGTTTCTTATAAAGTCAAACTACAGCATCCTGTTAGCCAGAAATTCTACTCCTATGTATTTCCCTCAAAGAAATGCAAACATGTGTCTTCAGAGATGCCTACCCACAAATGTGCACCCTACAGAGAATAGCAGATAAGCCAAATATGGCATGTTCACACAACTGAATACCATTCAGCAATAAAACATAAACTGCATAATACACGAATAGGTGAATCACTGAAAAAGTTAAACCTAGTGAAAGAAACCAGACATAAAATATCATATTCTGTATAATTCCACTTACACATATTTCAAGAGCAGACAAATATAATCCGATGTTATAGGGCACAATTTTGTGCAGTTGTGGTAGCATATTCTACATATATTTCTTCTTTAGGAAAGTGTATTTGGATTGCCAAGCTTCTTTTGGCCTGGTGCTGGTTAATTTTTGACATTTTTTTGAATAAGTGTGAGCATATAGGCTTAGATTTAATGTACTCTTTCAGTAACTCCCATTTTCTATATTTCTATGCCTCCAAATTTACTAATAGAAGCATAGATTCAAATATTTTTACACTACCTTTCAGAATTTAAACTTAGTTATTGTAGTTATATGATTTGGGGAACTCATGAATATGAAAAGCTGTACCAATCATTTTTGTAGAAATCCTAATCATTTAACCCATTTGCATTTATAATGTTTGCTCGCCTGTCACTCATAAGTGTATACCCACAGTTAGGATATAGATTAAAAAAAAATCTATCTCAGTGTCAATTGACTGATACCAATGTACAGACCACATAGATTGATACTCACCAATTATTATTGGCTGAGGATCACTTTTTACTCCAACCCCT